ACACACACACACACACACACACACACACACACACACACAGCTAATTGGATTTTCTTATTTTAGTGATAATGGAGGAGGTCATTTCCAGTGGTTTCTTTTTTATTTCCTAGCGTTACTGTGAAATACTATGGAAAGGCGTCTCATGCCGCTGCTTACCCTTGGGAGGGAGTGAATGCCTTGGACGCTGCGGTTCTCGCCTATAACAATCTCTCTGCATTAAGACAACAGATGAAACCAACCTGGAGACTTCATGGTATACATGCCAAATATTTGTATAGTAAATGGTACTTATTATATGTCAGTGCAGTAAAATTATTTAATATTAGGTTTTTTGTTTTTTTTTTTAATTGGTTGGAAGCCAGGCAGTAGTGGTGCACGCCTTTAATCCCAGCACACGGAGGCAGAGGCAGGCGGATCTCTGTGAGTTCAAAGTAGTCACTCACTACAGAGTGAGTTCCAGGACAGCTAGTGCTACACAGAGAAACCCTGTTTAGAAAACAAAACCAAAACAATAACAAGAAAAATTGGGGGTTGGGGATGTAGTTCAGTTAGAATGCTTGCCTGGGATGCACTGGGCACTGGGTGTGGTTCCCAGCACTGCATAAAACCTGGTGTGTGTCACATACCTGTAATTCTAGTACTTAGAATCACAAGTTCATGATCATCCTCAGCCACATGTAAATATGAGGGCAACCTAGGGTAAACAGGGGCAACCTAGGGTAAATGAGAGCCTTTCTCAAAAAAAAAAAAGTGTCAGTTACTAGTTTTATTTACTCAGGGACTAGTATAGTACACTCTTAAAATCCGTGTGTATAAGTATAGTAGCATGGTCTTCTCTTAGGTACACATTCCTCCTTCCTAGTCTGGGATTACAGGCATGAGCCTCCTCACTGACATAATTTTCTTTCCCTCCCCACCCCTTTTTCCTCAGTTGATTTCTTTATGATCTAGGAAATTGTGCTTTAATATCTATTTTTAACTCAGTTTTGCTGTATGCTAAAATCGTTTTATAATTGTGCTTTTGTGAGTTTCTTGTCTTAATTTTCTTCTCTGGTGTGGGTAGCCGTTGGTTTGAGATAGGCTCTCACTGTGTAGTCCAGGCTGCCCTTAAATTCAGCATCCAGCATCCAGGCCTACCCCATCTTGCTGCTTGTCTTAATTTCCTCAAAAGGGATTAGAGTGGAAAAATTTTAAATTAGATGATGAGGAATTCATTTTTTCTTTATTTATCTGTCTATCTATCTATCTGTCTGCCTGTCTGTCTATATTTAAGATGAGGTCTCTCTCCTGTAGCCCAGGCTATAGCCTAGGATTACTTTGAATCATGAGCTTCCTGCCTCCTCCTCAAGTGCTGGGATTATAGAGTTGCACAACTGGCTGGAATTAGATTCTGTGTATCTATTTTAGTTATTGGTAGAAACAAATAAATCTTTATTTTGTGTGGTCCCAAACAAATGTGTGTTTTGATAGTTTGTAGTTTTTAGGGGTCTTTGTTCAGCTTTTGTTTGTATATATGATTGTATCCAAAAGGCTAAGAAGTGATCATAGTAGTCTCTAATTGGTATGAAAATTTTTTCTCCACTGCTAAATGTTATTTAAAAATATTTGTAGGATTTTTCAAATAGGATGATAGTTACAGAGCCTCATGCCATTGTAAAAAGGTGTCCAAGTTTATCAAATTGCACAACTGTAATAAAGCCTACCAAGATAAATTTCCTCCAGAAAGTTTAATACTACCGTTTGTTTTGTAGCTATATAAGTCTGCATTTCTTTATAATTTAGATTATAATCTTTCCCTCTTCACCTCCTTGTTTTTTTCTTTCTTTCCAGTTCTGGGAGTTAAACCCAGACTCTCACACATGCTAGGCAAGTGCTCTGTTGTTGAACTTTACCCTCATCTCAAATTTAATTCCTTAACATTAAATAGATGCCTTAGAATAAAGTACATATGGACAATTTCCCCTGATTAGCTGGGAAGTAGTGTCTCTCTGTGGGAGTGTTGTACAGCATGTCAAAATCTTTATCAGTTTATCAGTGAAGCTAATTAGTATAAATTATTTTCCTTTTTGTACTGGCTACAAAACTTTCTTTAAACAAATCATCAAATTTAACTTCAGTAATTTGGTTCTTTTTGTAGGTATAATAAAAAACGGTGGTGTAAAACCCAATATCATCCCCTCTTACTCTGAATTAATCTATTACTTCCGTGCACCCTCAATGAAAGAGCTTCAAGTTTTGACCAAAAAGGCAGAAGATTCCTTCAGAGCTGCAGCTTTGGCTACAGGCTGCACAGTAAGCTTTCCGCAGTTAATTATGACCAGTTACCTGTGGGCTGTGGCTGTTTGTGTTGCTGCATTAAAGCCTACCTTGGTTCTTTTTCTCTTGCGGTGATTTTTGTTTGTGCCGGTGGTGGTGCTGGGGATCTGTCTCAGGGCCTTGTCCTCACTGGTGAGGTCTTGAATCTGTAAAATGAGTTGGCTAAATTTTTTATTTGAAATCTTTTGGTGAAAATTTAATATTTAACTAATCTTTACTTCTTGTACATTTTCTTGAGTGTCTGCAGTAGAAAACACTGCAGGTCCCCTACTTAGACAGTAGCTAGAGTACTTAGCATGTCACTGTGCTAGAATCCCTGCCTTTTACATCGCTTTGTGTAGCTCCCATAAAGGGCCTTTGATGACATCTGTCTGTCTCTTCAGCAAAGATGGGAATCAGATGTGTGTGTAGCTTGCTGGAATGGGCGTTAAGATGGACTCAGCACAGAGGAGATTTTGTCGACTAGAACTGTAACGTCAGAAACGTTTCAGTGTCAGCCGTGTGTGCTGCAACCTGGGATGAGGTTTACAGCTACATAAAGGTCAAATGCGGCAGTCTGGGTGGAGAGACAAGATTTTAGATGTTGATTTTAGAGAGAGACAAGACTCTTGTGTCTCTTGGCCATGAGCAGCGGTGTCTCTGGGGCTGTTTTCTCTATCAAATAGGGGTAATAATGAATCTCTCCAGGTTTCTTGGGAGAGACAAATGAAATCACATCTGTGAAGAGGCCACAGCCTGTCCTTCCTGTCTTCTGTCCTTGGTCTAGCAGTGCATGGTTTGTTCCTGTGGTAGTAGTGTCTCAGCCCTTGTCCTCAAGGTGTGCTTTTTGTCTTAGTAGAATGGACAGTGTTCGGAGGAACAGAGCAGTTAAGAAAGTGTCAGGTTAGCCTGCAGACACAAGACCCTGGGTTCAGTTCCCAGTTGGTGGGATGGGAGAAGGTTTCCTGGAAGACTGCAGACCTAGTTGAGCTTTGAAGGATAATCATACTTCCAGATATATGAACAACAGAGAGATCTCAGGCAGGGGATGTCATTGGAAAGATGAGAATGTATAAACTCTCATACTGTTTTGTGAATAGATAAATGCATGGATAAGTATAGGAATAAGGACATGTCCTCTTAGGCCATTTGCAAAGAGATTTAGTGTACAGCTATAAAGCTTCTACAACCCAGGGAAACTATACACTTGTTCCCTTCTAATTCTAAGTATTTAAATATTTTCAAGTTAGATACATGAACTATTATTAGCTAAGGGTAAATCTCGGTATTTCCTAAGTTAGGGCTTAGGGCCTGGAGAGATGGTTCACTCAGCAAAACACTTGCTTTGCAAAGTGAGGTCCTGGGTTTGAGCTCCAGAACCTACTTTTAAAAGGCAGGTGTGGTGTAGTGCACTTGTAACCCCAGCTCCGGGGAGGCAGAGGTAGGCAGATTCCTGTGCCTCACTAGCCAGCCAGCCTAGCGTGCTTGGTGAGCTCCAGGCAAAAGGAGAGAGAAGCCCTATCTCAAAACCCAGAGAGGAGAGGCTCCTGATGAATCACCCGAGCTTGCCCTTTTGTCCTTCACATGCACATGTATGCACACAGCAAACAGGGTTTATTGTTGGATTTAAATCTGTATTTAAGTAGCCTTTTACTAATTTAGATTTTGGCTGATTTGTAAGATTTGTGTTGCCGTTATTCATACCTTAGATGTTGCCAAGAATAGATGAAAATTGATCTCTGCTGTTTGATTGTTAGCTTTTGCTTATTGAAAACAAAAACTGTGAAGTCTATGACTGCTTATGCAGCCACATAGAAACTGCTTCTCTGTCTTCATGTACTCACATCTATAAGCAAGGCTTCGTGAGCCTGCCTCACTGAAGTGTCTGTATTCTCTGGGGATCCCTTTGAAATGAGACTGATACCAGGGACGGTTCTGTGTTCAGTGTATTGATTTGTAGAGATGCATTGCTTTTTCCCTTTGGAGATGAAGTCTAAAGCAGTGTGCATCAGAGTGGTTTGGGCTTCCTGCATCAGAACTGCCTGAAGGTTCAGGTACTCGCTATACCCTTTGAGGTGACTGGGGTTGATTCTTGCTGGCCAGTGTGGAGTTGACTGACACTCTGTGGTTGGTGCTTGTGCAGCAGAGCAAATGGGGTGTTAGGAACTTAGCTTTATAATGCACCTTTGTGTGTGTGTGTAAGGTAAGAGATTTGTGAGGGTTTATAGTGCCTATCCTAAAACTTTTCCTGGTAGAAACCATCACTGTTTTGCACTTAGTGAATTTAAGTTTTTAATCTCGAGCTTTGTTTTGTCATTTTTTATTAGGTAGAAATTAAAAGTGAAGCACACGATTATTACAATGTTCTTCCCAATAAGACACTGTGCAGTGCGTATATGGAGAATGGGAAGAAGCTGGGAATGGAGTTCATCTCAGAGGATGCAATGTTGAACGGACCCTCAGGTAACTGAGCTGTTTGAGCTCTGTGGTGGGGATCGTGGCTTCATGCAGGCAGACATGGTGCTGGAGGGACAGCTAAGAGCGCTACATCTTGCGGGCAACAAGAAGTCAGCTAACTACACACCGAGGGAAGCTTGAGCAAGAGAGACCTCAGAGTGACACACTTCCTCCAGCAAGGCCACCTAGTGCCACTCCCTTTGGGGGCCATTTTCTTTCAAACCACCACAAGTGTTTATTCAGCTTACACTTCTGCCACATCACTGTTCATCACTGAAGGAAGTCAGGACAGGAACTCAAACAGAGAAGAATTCTGGAGGCAGGAGCTGATGCAGAGGCCATGGAGGGGTGCTGCTTACTGACTTGCTTCAAATAGAACCCAGGACCACCAGCCCAGGGATGGCACCACCCACAATTGGCTGGGCCCTCCTCCCATTTATGATTAACTGAGAAAATGCCTTCCAGCTGGATCTTATGGAGGTATAAGATCCTCCTTAACTGTGGCTCCTTCCTCTCTGATGACTCAAGCTTATGTCAGGTTGACACACAAAACCATACAAAACCAGGTCTTGCTGATGTTGTCTAGGCTGGCCTCCTGCTTGAGGTTCTTGATTTCTGGGATTACAGGCATGTGCCACCACACCTAGCTTATTAGAGTGCTGTGTGCGTGAATGTATGGATGTGCACTATGTGCATTCAGGAGCCCTTAGAGCTCAGAAGAGGTCATCAGCTCCCTTGGAACTAGAGTTACAGGTAATTGTGAGCTGCTATGTGGCTGCTGGGAATTAAACCCCAGGTCTTCTGCAAGAGCAGCCAGCCATCTTATGCCCTTAGCCATCTCTTCATCCCCTATTTTTAGAGTTTTATTTATTATTACGTATATGTGAGTGCATGATGTATGTGTGTGATTGTGCATGCCACAGCATGTGTGTGGAGGTCTGGGGATAACTTTGCAGAATGTTCTCTCTTTCCCCGCTCTGTGGGTTCCAGGGATCAAAAGTCAGGTCATCAGGCTGGTGCAGCAAGTGCTGTTACCACTGAGCCATCCTGCTGGCCCTTCTTTGGTGTTACTTTAGGTTCTTTCCTCTTTTAATCAAACTACTAATAACGTTTGAAAGATGAGCTGTATCTCCTGAGTATAATGAGATGGTGAGGATGTAGAGCCATGACGACTTGGTAAAAATGGGTGTCATGGTCATTCACTAGCACAAGCACTTCTGGAATCATGGACTAGAGTAAATCATTAGTATGTTAAATTAGTACTTGTAGGATTTCTACGTGGAGCTGTTGAGTAGTCTGGGTTTGAGTCTGGAGCCCCCAGAAATGTCTAGGCTGGAGGCTTAGGGTCTGCTGATATGTGGGAGGTGAATGGAGAGGACACGGATGTTAATACAGCTATCTAAGTTCATAGAGAAGACAGGGGTGAAACACTGGAACCAGCGTTTAGGAGGAGATGGGTAAAGCTAGGAGATAGTAGAGAGAGGAAGCTAGATAATCAGGATGGACGGGGAAGTCAGGGACGCGAAGACCGTGGAGATTCATGTCAGGTGCTGTAGACGCTGAGTAAGTGTAGTCTCATTGAACCATCGGTTCCTACACTGCAGTAGGAAAGAGAAACGGGAAGTTCAGCCACAGGAAGTTCAGCTGTGGAGAGAAAGCTTAATTGGGAACTCCAGTGACTGCCTCAGCTTCTGGAGTCAGCTTCTGCTAGATTTGATGGCATTATTTCTCTATTTGTCTTTCATTTGGAAGCTATGAGAGTCTATATATCTTATCTATGTAGCGCCTACCCTATATCCCCCAGTGGTGACATCTTATAAAACTACAGCCCTGTACCACAACCAGAACAGTAACACTAGTGGAGTCCCTGAGGTGGGGCACGTAACTCGAAGAGGGCTGGCCGAGAGCATACATGAAGCCCTGGGTCTGACCCCCAGCACTGCATAAAGCATACATGGGGCCCCATACCTATATCCCAACACTCAGGAGGTAGAGGCAGGAATGCTCAGTTCAAGGTCACCCTCAGCTACATAACAAGTTCAAGAGCAGCCCAGGTTACATAAGACCCTGCCTCAAAATATATGCGTTTGAGTGTGTATATGTGAGTGTGTGCACATGGAAAGATAGGTATACATACACCTCATTGATTTAACTCAGGAGTCCTCAGAGTTCACAGTGGGGCGCCAGCAGGCCAGGCTTTGTGGCTGGGCAAGGACAGGTCTGGAATGCCATGGTGGAGGTGGGAGTGAGCATGAGCACCAGCAGACAGCTCTCCCTGTCCTAACAGGCCTGAGGGCCTTGGCCCCGTACGGGGTTCTAGGTATAACTTCATCATTCAGAGCGCTTAACCAAACATCCTTTTCCTCCTGTTTGTGTTCTAAGGCTCTACTGATTTTGGAAATGTCAGTTTTGTGGTTCCTGGGATCCACCCGTATTTTTACATTGGGACTGACGCCTTGAATCACACGGAACAGTACACAGAGGCCGCAGGTGAGCGTGAGGCTCGGTGCTCAGGGTTCTCCTGCTGCTCCTTAGCCGGCCCTTCCCTGACCTGGCTTCGGCACGTCCTGGACTGTGATCAGGAGTAGGAGAGGCAGTGAGAGGTGACCTCACTGAGAGGTGACCTGGGGGATTAATAAGTGCTGCATTTTAATACATACAGAGGTATTCTAATTTGCTTTCTTTACCTTTTAGGATCACAAGAAGCTCAGTTGTACACTCTGCGTACAGCCAAAGCTCTGGCAATGACTGCACTGGACGTCATCTTTAAGCCTGAGTTGCTGGAAAGAATCAGAGAGGAGTTTAAATCGAAGCTTCAAGAAGAACAGCTTTTAAATACACCCGCATAGGAGGAGGACTTAGGGACTGCTCAGGAAGCATTGGGTTTGCGTGTTTGTTTTTGACCTCTAACATTTTTTCAATGCAAGAGAGCATGCTTGATTTCCACTCTTGGTAGGTGAGGGCAGGATGGAGCAAAGACACTAATGGAGTTTGTGATATTTCAGGCATTGGTATGTGATGCCATTTCTTAAGCTAGATGATATGCGATTCTGTACCATAGTAAGGTAATGTTTTGTAAATGTCTCTTTCGTATGGTTTTATGAGATTCTGTACCATGGTACGGTAATGTTTTGTAAATGTCTCTTTCCTATGGTTTTATGTGATTCTGTACCATGGCAAGGTAATGTTTTGTAAATGTATCTTTTCTAAGGTTTTATAAGTCCCACAGGTTTCAAAACTTAACACTCATGAACTCTGTGGTCCAGAGTAGTGAATGTCTTCTCAGCAGTTTAAAGTGAGGGGCGTTTGTTTCAAGTCGAACTGTATCTGTCTTGGTCTAGAGAAACACTTAAGCATAGCTTGTAGAGCACACCTAGAATCTCCAGTACAGAAAATTAGCTTTACTTGTAACTTTTTTTTTTTTTTTTTTTTTTG